AGCCAAGAATAGAAGTCTAGAACAGAGGCTTCCCTAGAGCAGAGCCTGCAGGAGAAACCTTGTTTTTGGACTTGTAGCCTTCAGAACTCTGAGACAATAAGTTTGTGTTACTTAAACCGCCCATTCTGTGGTGCTTTGTTATGGCAGACTTGACAAGCTAATACAGTCTGGTTAACTATTTGTGGTGGAGGCTGTCCTGTGCATTGTAAGATAGCAACACCCCTGGCCCCTGCCCACTAGATGTGACAACATCCTCTGGTGCTCAGTTTTGACAACTCAAAATGTCTTTGCACATCTGCAAATGTCCCTCTGGGACAACCAGTCTAGACTGTCTGGCCTGGACTCACTTGTTGATCTCAGCCATTAGATCCATTGCTGATTTCACAGCACTCTCCAGGGCCTGATGTCCCAAGCAGAGCAATATACATAACTTGAAACATTTAACTCCATCTGAACAGGGACCTCTTACACATCATGCATATGATGGAAACAAAGTCTAATCAACTGAAAACCTGCATAAGATAGTGAAGGGGATCATAATATGCCACCCGAAAATATACCACTTTGGCATAAGAATTATTTAGAGCTGAAGACATTTGAGAGTCAACAGATATAGAAAGATACCTTCTTGGAGTGTCCTTTATCTAACTGCAAGCAGAAACTCCTGATGAATAAGTGCTGTCGTAAATGCCCTCTCGCAGGGAAGTTTTATAGCCACAAAGGAGATGAAAAGTTGGCACTGTGATAAGCCTGCACAGACGAACTTACTAGGATAGCTCTTTTCTCCCATTAGTGTCCCCCATCTATTTACATTCCCACAGTTTACCACCCTTGGAAATCCAAAACTCTTTTCTTTGTCTTTGTCTTGTGACATTGCCACAATTTAGCATTCTTTGTTAAAAATGGCATGTAAGCTTTTAGGTTATCCGCTTCTTTGGATCTTCACTTCTTTTGTGGAATGATATCACATAAAAATTAACAGAAAATAAAGATTATATGCCTTTTCTCCAGTTAATTTGTCTTCTGTCAGTCTAATTTACAGGACCCCAGGCAATAAAACTAAGAGGGTAGGGACAAAAATATTTTCCCTCTCCTATGATGGGAAATCCCTCAGTCCTACCCAAGGAAAACTTATGAAACTTTACTTTTCTTAAATCTAAACAGTGGCTTACTCCGAAGACAAAAACAATTTGTAAGTGTCACCCTTTTGCAAAAGTGCTAGTCTTACCCTTCTACAGGAGCAATTGCAGAAGGAAAATAATGTTCTGTGCTATATGAAAACACAAGCCATTCACTGCTTACATGTAAAAGCCGGGGGAGAAGGATTTAAGGACATATTCAGCTGAGAGGCAATATTTTAATAAACTATCACAAGGGCTTGATTATGTTACCATTTATTTACATGCAGGTAGGTAGTTGTAGAGTGGGGCAGAATGTAAACAAACAGCCACAGCCATATTAGTGATACAGCTAAATCCTTTTCACATCCTTTAATTCCATAGAGATTCTAAAAGGTCACATTTTCAGAGCTGCCGTAATGATATTTTTTTTCTCACAGCATGAGCTCTTCCTAATGGCAATGCTGTAAGCTGCACTCAGGTGATGAATTTTCCCCAATAGGTCAATGCATCATTTTAAACAACAGGAAACTATCTTTCACTAATAGTTTCACCATGTTTACAAAGTCTATCTTATAAATAATTATAAATATGTAAGAAGTCCTTTAATAGGTCCACCTAGTAATTCCATTCTCTCCAACATTTACCTGACAGTACTAGCCCATAATCAATCAGGCTTTACTTATTCTTATTTTTCTGATATTTTAAGTGGTTTTGCTTCCTCTTCTCCTCATGCACACATTTGTATATGCAGGAAAACAGCTGTTACATGGCAAGAGTGAGGCCATTTTGAAGCAAAAGCACCATGATAACTGATGACCCATACACCAGGGTGTTCTATAGCAAGGTCCTTAAACAATGCCTTTAGCATAGATTACCCTTCGTAAAGAAGTGGTCACAAGTCTTGGTGAGAAAGTCTGGAGGCGTGACAAGCAGCAGCACATGCGTTACCCTAAAAGCTTGCTATGTAAAGCTTACCTTCTGGAGGATGGGTGCAGGGATCCATCATCTCGTGGCTGCTCAAGACATCACTTCCGTAACTCCTTATTGAATGTTTCTGAGAACTGGATTTATCAACCTCTTTCTCTGGTCTCTCAGTGTTTTTGTTTTGTCATGAGTTAGAACTGAAAGTAACTAAAAACATGGAGCCTTCCAATCCCCTCCAACTGTTTGGTTGGGGGCTCCTGGATGTGTCCTTGGTGTCTCCCAGTGACCGTTGGTGTTCCAGTTGGTGGAATAGAAGGGGCCACAGCAACAGAGCATAGAAGATACCATCACCATCACTTTGACTTCTCTGTATCCTGGCTGTGTACTGAGTTTCATCTTCCTCAGCTCTGAAACAGGTGCACTGATCCCCGTCTGCCCACCAAAGAACTATGAAAATCAGGACAATAGATGTGAAAGTGGTTTGTAAACTGGCAAGTGCTTCAACATGGAAGATATTACAGTGAAGATGGAGGTCAGAGGCCTGTGTAAGTTTAGAGTTCGGGAGGATCACTGGCACGAGTCTTCTAAGAGCAAATTGAGTTTCGCAAGAATATAGAGCAACTTAAAAGTAGATATGCCTCTTTGGGCCCACAAGGATTGAACTTTGCCTCCCGAAGTAGAAGTTTATAGCTCTATCATTCTGAAATAGTTGTTTTCTAAAGCTTTGTCACTTACAGTAGAGAAATTATCAAACACCAAGATAATCAGATTTTAGGTTACTCAGGTAGGAATTACTTTACTTCACACAGGTAGGAATTACTTTACTTCACACTTTCATTTTGTGTGAAATAAAATATGCCTGAGTTTTTCTGTAGGTTCTCTACAGACAGAACACTCACATAAGGAGGTCTTGAAATGGGATAGGCATTTTTCAGGCAAAGGAAAGGAAGAAGAGCTTCACAGAGAATCCAGACAACCAACCACAGACAAGGAAGAAAGCCACAATGATGGGAGGGTCAGGTCACAGGACTTAGTGAGTGGATGAGGATGGGTACTCATGGAGGAGCAGCTGGAGGCCTCAGTCTTTCTCTGATCCCCTGCATCTCATTAGTCCCATGCAGCATTTTCAATGTGGACCAGCTCTCCCCATCTAATCCTCACTCCTGTGGAAACGTTGGCTCTTCACTGTTTATCCAGCAGTCAGTCTGAGGGGTTGCAAGGTGGGTGTTCTTTTTTTCCCCGTTTTTATAACAAAAACAAAAAATGACTCAAGAAGTTAAGACACTAAACGCAGGGTTTCTAAGGGAAATTCATACACCTATGTTTATATATTATTATTCTTAATAGCCAAAGGTGGAAGCAACATGTGCCCATCAATAGATAAATGGATCAAGAAAATGGAACACACAATGGAATACTTTTCTGCATTAAAAAGCAAGGGAATTCAGACATGTGCTGCAATATGGATGGACTTTGAAGACATTATGCTGAGTAAATACTCACAAAAAGACTAATGCTGTATAATTTCACTTATATGAGGAATCTGGAGTAGTCAAGTTCATAAAACAGGAAGTAGAATGGTGACTGCAGGGGCTGGAGGAGAAGGAAATTGAGGAGTTATTGTTTAATGAATTCAGAGTATTAGTTTTGGAAGATGAAAAGGTTCTGAAGATTGACTCACAACGCTACTGAACCATACACTCAAAAATGGGTAAGGTGGTAAGTTTTATGTTATTTGTATTTTACCACAATCAACAGCCTGAACTTTTTAAAAAAAGTTAAAACAAGCAAAGGCAAATAGCTAGAGTTAAAACTATTTGAACTTTTGATGTATTGGTAAAGCTCCCTTGTGCTATAAGAAGTGAAAAAGAAAACAGTAACAAGAAAAGGATGAGGACAGTGACTCCCTCTTCTCCCCTTCCTCTTCAAAATACTGAAAATGAAGGTCAGCATCTGGAGACTTTGAGAGTAAAATGCTTTTCTAAGAAATGGGATTATAAGATATTTCTTTTTTCTTCTGTTTGTGTTATTCTGTATTTTCTTAAGTTTCTATAATGATATGGATTACCTTTTAATTGGAGAAAAAAAAGTGCTGAGGCCCTACTAAAACAAAAGTGGTCCATCAGAGGCTTGGGTTAGTCATAACTCAAGAATGTTTTGCAGGGGTAAAACATGCCTGTGTGGTGTTGTTGTTTCCTGTATTGCTGTTTGTTTCCTGTGTTGTTTCCTGTGTGCCACTAGCCAACCCCAGGAAAGCACTGGTCCCATCACATGGCTGCTCTAGTTCTAGGAAGAAAAGGACACCCAAAGGTCCAAATTTGTCATCAAGTTAGAACTAGAAATCAGGTCTTGCAATTCCCACTCCAGTGTCCTTTGACCTAGTTGACTATATCTCTGAAAGCTGGGGTGTTTGTTGTGTAACTGAAGTCATGTTTATATGCAGCTCAGCTTCATTTACACCACAGTTTCTCAGCCTCAACACTGTGAACATTTTGGGCTGGTAATTCTTTGTTGAAAGGGGCTGTCTCATGCATTGAAGGATCTTTAGCCACATCCCTGGCCTTTCTCCATTATTTACCAGTAGCACTCTCCTAACCCTCCAACCAAAATTGTCTCTAGACATTGTCAAATGTCCCCTGGGGGCACAGTTATCCCAGCTGAGAACCACTGATTTGCTCGTGGTAAGATTCATATAATCAGCAAATTTTCTCTTGGACCTTTGCTTCACCTGTTTACAGGATTGGATTTAGAATCTGAGAAGTTCATGTGAAAAACAAATCCTGATAAAAATTTCTAGCTTGTTCTGTGGCTCGCCCTGGAGCTCAGCCTTGCTCATACTGTGCTGCTGCTAAAAGTAATCTGGGTGGTCAGAGTGAGATGCTGCTGTGATCGTTTTGGCTGTTTTGCTGTTACTGATCTCAGCCTCATCCTTAACCAAACTTTCTGGTGACTCACCAGCTTTCCTGCTGCTTGTGCCCTTCTCACGATTGTTTCCAGCCATGAGGCAGTCCTTGCCCATTTCTGTCTTCCCAGCTGATAGCTATGTCCTCCTTTCAGATGGCCCTGACGTCAGGAGTAGAGAGGGGCCACCCTGGGGTAGCTGTGAGGAGTGAAGCTGCACTGAACTTGCATCAGAAAACCTGGCCTTGACTCAGCCCTCTGTTTCCTCATTTTGTTTTCAACATGTCCTACCTTGTAAGATTATTGTGAGAACAAAATGAGATGACATGTTCTGAGTGCTTAGTGCCACATCTAATGAAGACACCCTTGTTGTCATTACTGTCACTGTGATTTTGAAAAAGCCACTTAACTTTTCAGAGTCTCAATGTCATTATTTTGAGAAAATAAGGGATTGAGTTGAGCTAACTTCTAGGGTTTCTTCAGTGTCAGATTTTAAAGATTATTCATTTTTTTCCAGCTGTAAATGGAATAATTAATAATCTCTTACAAGATTGGGCTGCAAATGAAATATTATGGGAAATACTTTGCAAACTGTGTATCATGTCAGCACTGGATGGGTTTGGCCATCTGGATGGAAGGACCATGAGCAGGTGACACAGACATGAGGCCACGGAGGTTGCTGGCCCAAATGATCACAGAGCACAAGGGCTGCTTAGTCTACTTGCTAACATGAGTCTTAGACCAGCCAGTCAGACCCCATTTACCACTTTTTCTGTAAGTCTACATAAGGTGACAGCCTCCCAGAATCCCTTATAGTAATGGGGAATCACAACTACAAAATAGGAAGGAACTGAGGAACCATGTCATTCCTCCACAAATAAACTAGTTTTCCCATTCTCAGAGGGCTTAGGGGGCCAAAGTGGAGGGGATAATGTTTCTTTTTTTCTTTTATTTTTATCATTTTGACTTTTATCTTAGATTCGGGGGTATATGTGCAGGTTTGGTACCTGGAAATAATGTCTGATGCTGAGGTTTGGGGTACCATTGATCCTGTCACCCAGGTGCTGATCATAATACCCAATAGTTAATCAACCCTTGCCCCTCTCCCTTCAGCACCACTCTAGTGGTCCCCAGTGTCTGTTGTTACCATCTTTATGTCCATGATTACCCAATGTTTACCTCTTGTTTATAAGTAAGAACATGTAGCTTTAGTTTTCAGTTCCTGAGTAAATTTGCTTAGGGTAATGGCTTTCAGCTGCATCCATGTTGCTGCAAAGGATATGATTTCATTCTTTTTTATGGCTGCATAGTATTCTATAATGTACCTGTACTACATTTTCTTTATCCAGTACACCATTGCTGGACATCTAGGTTGATTCCATGTCTTTGCTATTGTCAATAGGGCTGTGATGAACACAAAAGTGCATGCATCTTTTTGGCAAAACAATTTATTTTCTTTTGGATATATACCTAGTAATAGGATTGCTGGATCAAATAATAATTCTGTTTTTAGTTCTTTGAGAAATCTCCAAACAGGGGCTGAACTGATTTACATTCCCACCATCAATGTATAAGCATTTCCTTTTTTCTGCACCGTTGATTACATGTGTTTTATTAATAGCTTTTTACTAATAGCATTCTGACTGTTAGGAGATAGTAACTCATTGTGGTTTTGATTTTGCGTTTCTCTGATGATTAGTGATGTGAACCATTTTTCATATATTTCTTGACCTCTTGTATATCTTCTTCTGAGAAGTGTCTGTTCATGTCTTTTTTAAATGGGGTTGTTTTTTGCTTGTTCAGTGATTTAAGTAGTTCCTTATAGATTCTGGATATTAGGTTAGACCTTTGTTGGATCCACAGTTGGAGAATATTTTCTTCCATTCTGTAGATTGTTTGTTTACTGTGTTGACAGTTTCTTTTGCTGTGCAGAGAATCTCTTTAGTTTGATTAGGTCTCACTTGTCAATTTTGTTGTTGTCGTTGTCGTCCTTGTTGCAATTGCTTCTGCAGATTTAGTCATAAATTCTTTCCAAAGGTCCAGAATAGTCCAGAATAGTGTTTCCTAGGTTTTCTTATAGAACTAGAAGAACAATGTTCTTCTAGAACAATGTCCAGAATAGTGTTTCCTAGGTTTTCTTCTAGAACTCTTACAGTTTGAGGTCTTACATTTTAATCTTTAATCAATCTTCAGTTAATCTTTGTGTATGGTGAGAGGTAGGGGTCCAGTTTCATTCTTCTACACGTGGCAGGCCAGCTATCCCAGCACCATTTATTGCATAGTCTTTTCCTTATTGCTCATTTTTGTTAAGTTTGTTGAAGATCAGATGGCTTTAGGTTGTGGCTTTATTTCATAGTTCTCTCTCCTGTTCCATTGGTCTACATGTCTGTTTTTGTACCAGTACCATGCTGTTTTGGTTAATGTAGGCTTATAGTACGGTTTAAAGTTGGATAATGTGATGCATCTGGCTTTGTTCTTTTTGCTTAGGATTTCCTTGGCGATTTGGGCTATTTTTTGTTTCCATATAAATTTTAGAATCATTTTTGTCTAATTCTGTGAAAGATGACATGGAGGTTTGCAAGGAATAGCACTGAATCTGCAGAGTGCTTTGAGGAGGACGATCATTTTAACAATACCCATTCTTCCAATCCATGAGCATGCAATGCTTTTTCCATTTGTTTGTGTCACCATTACTTCTTTCAGCAGTGTTTTGTACTTTGCCTTGCAGAGATCTTTCACCTCTTTGGTTAGATGTATTCCTAGGTTTTTTAGAGCTTCTTTGACTATTGTTAAGTGGGGTTGTATTTTTAATTAGGTTCTCAACTTGAACATTATTGATATATAGAAATACTACTGATTTTTGTGCATTGATTTTGTATTCTGTTGTATTTGTTGTTTATCAGTTCCAGGAGGCTTTTGGTGAAGTCATTAGGGTTTTCTAGGTATAGAATTATATTGTTAGTGAAGAGAGATAGTTTGACTTCTTTTCCTATTTGGATGCCTTTTATTTCCTTTCCTTGCTTGTTCTGGCTAGGACCTCCAGTACTATGTTGAAGAGGAATGGTGAGAGTGGACATCCTTATTCTCAAGGGGAATGCTTCAAGCTTTTGCCTGTTCAGTATGATATTCACTTTGGGTTTGTCAATAAGAGTTTGGCTCTTATAATTTTGAGGTATGATGGTTTTTGTTATGAATGAATGTTGAATATAGGGAAAAGACTTTTCTGCAATAAGCCAGTAAGAGTTTGACTCTATTATTTTGAGGTATGTTCCTTCTATGCCTTATTTATTGATTATTTTTGTTATGAAGGATGTTGAATTTTAGCAAAAGACTTTTCTGCATCTATTGAGATGATCATATGGTTTTGTCTTTAATTCTGTTTATGTGGTAAATTGTATTAATTGATTGGAGTATGTTGAGCCAAACTTGAATGCCAGTAATAAAGCCTACTTGATTGTGGGAAATTAACTATTTGAAGTGCTGCTAGATTCAGTTTGCTAGTATTTTGTTGAGCATTTTTGTGTCTCTGTTCATCAGGGGTATTGGCTTGTAGTTTTCGTTTTTTGTGCCTTTGCCAGATTTTAGTATCAGGGTGATACTGGCTTTGTAGAATGACTTAGGGAGGAATCTCTCCTCCTTGACTTTTTGTAATAGAATTGGTATCAGCTCTTCTTTGTAAGTCTGGTAGAATTCAACTGTGAATGCATTTGGTCTGGGGCCTTTTTTGGTTCACAGATTTTTTAATGACTGATTTAATTTTAGAACTCAAAATTTCTCCTGATTCAATCTTGGGAGAGTGTGTGTTTCCAGGAATTTTTCCATTTCCTCCAGATTTTCTAGTTTGTATACATAGAGGTGTTCATAATAGTCTCTCAGGATCTTCTGTATTTCTGTGGGATTGGTTGTCATGTCACCTTTGTCTTTTCTCATTGTGCTTATTTGGATTTTCTCTGTATCTTTGTTAATCTGGCTAGCAGTATATCAATCTTGTTTATGTTTTCAAAGGCCAACTTTTGGTTTTATCGATTCTTGTGTATGGATTTTTGTGTCTCAGTTTTGTTCAGTTGTGTTCTGCCTCCCTCCCTTTTTCCCTTCTTTACTTTCCCTCCCTCCTTCCCCCCTTCTATTTTCTTTTTTCCTTCCCTTCTCGCTTCTTCCTTTCCTTTCCTTCTTCCCTCCCTCCCTCCCTTCCTCCTTTCCTTCCTTTTTTCCTTCCTTTCTTTCTTTCTTTCTTTCTTTCTTTCTTTCTTTCTTTCTTTCTTTCCTTCCTTCCTTCCTTCCTTCCTTCCTTCCTTCTTCTCTTTTTTTTCCCTTTCAACTGAAATACGATCTTGCTCTGTTATCCAGACTGAAGTGAAGTAGCGTGATCATAGCTTACTGCAGCCTTGAACTCCTAGGCTCAAGCAATCCTCCTATCTCAGCCTTGCAAGTAGCTGGAACTACAGGCATATATTTTTATTTTGGTAAAGAAGGGGTTTTGCAGTGTTGCCCTATGGGGTGTTATCATCTTGCCCAGACTGGTCTCAAACTCCTGGACTTAAGCATCTTTCCACTTTGGCCTCCCAAAATGCTGGGATTACAGGCATGAGCCAACAAGCCCAGTCCTAGTTCTTTCTTTCTTTCTTTTTCCCCAGTAATGGCTATAAGCAACCTAGTTCTTTCTTTTCTTGTGCTAGCTTTAGAGTTGGTTTAATCTCGTCTTTCCTTTAAGTGTGATGCTAGATTGTTAATTTTGAGACCTCTCTACCTTTTGAGATAGGCATTAGGGCTATCAACTTCCTTGCTAACACTACTTTTGTTGCACCCGAGAGATTTTGGTATTTGTGTCTCTGTTTTCATTTATTTCAAAGAATTTTTTGTTTATTTTTGCCTTATAATCATTGTTTCCCCAGAATTCAATCCAGTGTGAGTTGCTTAATTTCCATGTAATTGTGTGGTTTTGAAAGAGCATCTTGGTATTAATTTCTGTTTTTATTCCACTGTGGTCCAAGAATATGATTGGTATTATTTTGAATTTTTTGAATTTATTAAGACTTGGTTTATAGTCAAGCATGTGGTTTTGCTTGGAGTGTGTTCCATATGCAGATGAGAAGACTATATTCTGTGGACAATGGGTGACATATTCAATAGAAGTCCAGAATTTCTTTGTTAGTTTTCTGCCTCAGTGGTCTAACACTATCAGTGAGGTTTGC